GGGTGCGGTGACTCAAGCCTGTAATCCCAGCACTTTGGGAGGCCGAGGCGGGTGGATCATGAGGTCAAGAGATCGAGACCATCCTGGTCAACATAGTGAAACCCCGTCTCTACTACAAATACAAAAATTCAGCTGGGCATGGTGGCGTGTGCCTGTAATCCCAGCTACTCGGGAGGCTGAGGCAGGAGAATTGCCTGAACCCAGGAGGCGGAGGTTGTGGTGAGCCGAGATCGCGCCATTGTACTCCAGCCTGGGTAACGAGAGAAACTCCGTCTCAAAAAAAAAAAAAAAAATTAGCCGGGCATGGTGGTGCGTGCCTGTAGTCCCAGCTACTCAGGAGGCAGGCTGAGGTAGGAGAATTGCTTGAAACCAGAAAACGGAAGCTGCAGTGAGCCGGGATCGTGCCATTGCACTCCAGCCTGGCAACAGAGTGAGACTCCGTCTCAAAAAAATAACAATAATAATATTAACACTAACCATTTATTTATGGGAAGAGAGGAAGAGTAATGGGAGTGGGAGAGTCTATGGAGATTTTTTAAAATAAAAATATCTGAAATCAGTATAGAGAAATGTCAAATTTGTGAAAGCAGAATAGTGATATATATGGATTTCTTTTTTTTTGAGCTTTGTCACCCAGGCTGGAGTGCAGTGGTGCTAATCTCAGCTCATTGCAACCTCCACCTCCTGGGTTCAAGTGATTCCCCTGCCTCAGCCTCCCAGGTAGCTGGGATTACAGATGCGTACCACCATGCCGGCTAATGTGTGTATTTTTGGTAGAGATGGGATTTCACCGTGTTGGCCAGGCTGGTCTCAAACTCCTGGCCTCAAGTGATCCACCCCGCTCAGCCTCCCAAAGTGCTGGGGTTACAGCCTTGAGCCACTGCTCCCAGCCATCTGAATTTCTTTATGCCTTTCTACATGTTTGAAATGTTTGATGATGATAAGAGTTTACATTTTAAAATATAATTTATATCAAGTACAACATGTCTAGTATGGGGGTGGAGGGTAGGGTCTCCTCAGTGCCCCTGTCACTCCCTTGTCTCCAGAGCATGACTGAGGGCTGCCCCTTCAAGATGCCCCTCTGCAGGAATTTCAGAGTTTCAATGTCTCTCCTAGAAAATGCTGGAAGAGCAGCTCATCACACACGCATCTGGCGAAGCCTGGCGGACCTTCATCTACGGCTTCTATTTCTACAAGATAGTAACGGACAAAGAGCCCGACCGAGGTCAGAGCCGAGGCGAATGTGGTTGCCCACAGGGGCCAGTGTTTTTCCTGGTGACTTGCTCTTTCACATGTTGGTGCTTCCTGAGCTGCATGTGTGACTTTGTATTCTAAGTTGACAGATCTGTCAACTTCCTTGAGCCTTTGTACTTAATTTAAGCATAGCCAGAGTGACAAGGGTTTCTTAAGTTACAGTGTGTTCTTGGTGAGAACAGTGTGGGTGAAAGATAAAGCTAGAAGAGGCCAAGGGACCTGGTGTGAGGAAATTCCCACACATCATTTTTTGGTAGCTATTTTTAATTAGAGCACCCCAACCCCTTGCCCACCCAGCCCAGGTGGTTCTGATTATAGTATCATGGGCTCCACTCTGATTTATAGCACTTTTTACTTGTTGGATCTCTAGTCCAGACTCCATTTCTTCCGTCAGAAAGACCATCAAGTCCTAGCAAGTTTTCCAAGTTATATTTTAATTATCTGTGGGGTTTTTTGCTTTTGTTTGTTTTTTTAAATAATGAAAGAAAGTAATTCCCCCAAGGGAAAACTTTTTTTTAGCATGATCAAAGCTGGCTTGTATAACTGGAGGCATCTAGGATTCAGATCAGCATCTCGTAGGACATGGTGGCCCACGCCTGTAATCCCAGCATTTTGGAAGGCCGAGGTGGGTAGATCACTTGAGGTTAAGAGTTCAAGACCAGCCTGGCCAACACTGTGAAACCCTGTCTCTGCTAAAAATACAAAATTAGCTGGGCGTAGTGGTGCACTCATGTAATTCCAGCTACCTGGGAGACGTAGCCAGGAGAATTGCTTGAAACCAGGAGGCAGAGGTTACAGTGAACTGAGATTGTGCCACTGCACTGCAGCCTGGGCGACAGAGTGAAATTCCATCTCAAAAACAACAGCAGCAAAACAGACCGGCTGGGTATGGTAGCTCACACCTATAATCCCAGCACTTTGGGAGGCTGAGGCAGGTGGATTACGAGGTCAGGAGTTCAAGACCAGCCTGGCAAAGATGGTGAAACCCCGTCTCTACTAAAACTTCAAAAAATTAGCCAGGTGTGGTGGTGGACACCTGTAAATCCCAGCTACTCGGGAGGCTGAGGCAGGAGAATCATGTGAAGCTGGGAGTTGGAGGTTGCAGTGAGCCGAGATTAAGCCACTGCACTCCAGCCTGGGTGACAGAGCGAGACTCCATCTCAAAAAAAAAAAAAAAGAGCAAACCATTTCCAGTACACATATAGCACAAGGAGACCTCTGGAAGTGACTCCTATCCTGCAGAAAAAATGGTTTCTCGGTCTCTAGGTTTAAGGAATCATACATGAGATGAAGCAGCTAGTGCCATTCTCCATGCTGTCTTGTCTAAGAATATGGCAGAAGTGAACCCGTGTGGGATTTTTTTTTCCTTGTAGCCACTAGTATATCCATTGACATTTTTCCCTTTAAATTCTAAATTTGACCAGTAGATACCTGTCTTACCTTCAAGTTGAAAACATACCACGTTACTGTTATATATTCTGAAATTCGAGGTATGAAACTGATCATAAGGTCAAGTGTGGTAGGGGCTGATGCCTATAATCTCATCGCCTTGGAAGCCTGAGACGTGAGGACCTCTTGAGGCTAAGAGTTAAAGATCAGCTTGGTTACGCAATATAGCAAAACCCCATCTCTACAGAAAAAAATTCGGCTGGGCGTGGGTGTACACACTTGTCATCATCGCTACTCAGGAAGCTGAAATGGGAGAATTGCTTGAGCCCAGGAGGTTGAGGTATTAGTGAGCTATGATTGCACCACTGCACTGAAGACTTGGCAAAGCAGTGCAGACCCTATCTCTAAAAGAAAAATAGAAATAAACTGAGTATAAAATATTTTTTAAGGATGGGCACAGCAACACACACCTGTAATCCCAGCACTTTGGGAGGCCAAGGCAGGTAGATCACCTGAAGTCAAAAGTTCAAGACCAGCCTGGCCAACATGGTGAAACCCTGTCTACTAAAAATACAAAAGCTAGCCAGGCGTGGTGGCCCATGTCCGTAATCCCAGCTACTTGGGAGGCTGAGACAGAATTGGTTGAACCCAGGAGGCAGAGGTTGCAGTGAGCCGAGGTCATGCCCTTGCACTCCAGCCTAGGTGACAGAATGAGACTCCATCTTAAAAAAATAATAATAATAATAAATATATACACACACGCGCACACACACACATAAATATTTTTTTTAATTGAAGTTCACATGATATAAAATTAACCATTTAAAAATGAACAGTTTTCTGGCCACTGCTCCTGTCAAGAAGAAGGAAATATAAATAAATTTAAAAAAATAAAAAAAATAAAAATGAACAGTTGAGGGTGTTTAGTACATCCACACTGTTGTACAACTATCACATCCATCTAGTTCCTAACTATTTTCATCACCCTGAAATGAAACCCCATCTTCTTTAGCAATCACCTTTCAACTCCTCCTCCCACCCCCAGCAACCACTAATCTGCTTTCTGTCTCAAAGATTTCCCTATTTGGTACATTTCATGTAAATGGAACCATACACTATGTGTCCTTTTGTGTCTGGCTTCTTTTACTTAGCCTGTTTTTAAGGTTTATCAGGTTGTAGCATGCATGATTAAGAAAATAAACATTTGTGTTGAGTACTCCTCTCCCCTTTTCTTTTCCCAGTGTCCATGCAGCAGCCGGCCACCACCTGGCACACAGCAGGAGTGGATGACTTCGCCAGCTTCCAGCGCAAGTGGTTTGAGGTGGCTTTTGTGGCAGAAGAGCTCGTGCACTCTGAGATTCCTGCCTTTCTCCTGCCCTGGCTGCCCAGCCGGCCAGCCTCTTATGCAAGTAGGCACAGCTCCTTTAGCCGCAGTTTTGGAGGACGGAGCCAGGCAGCTGCACTTTTAGGTACATGCTCGACCCAGACAAGGTCTGGGGGTGTGCCAGTGGGTGGCTGCAGGAAGGTGGTGGCCAGCCAAGGGAACGATGCCACATGAACCAGGATTAGAGTCGCTGAGGCTGTCACACCAGCCACTGTGTCTGTCAGCACTGTTGACTCCTGTGCTGACTTCCACTGGCTGAGTGGCTTTATGATTGTCCCAACCAACAGACAGTATTTAGCACCTCTCAAATCAGAACATAGTGCCAGACCTTCTCAGAGAGGAGAGAAGAAATGTGTGGCCAATTTTCCCCAGAGTTCCATAGGATATAGGAGATGTGAGATGGTGAGAGATAGTGCTCACTGCACAAGCTAGTTCCTGCCAGAGGCCTTCCCTACAACCATAGCATCCTACAATCTCAGAAGAGGAAGGAACCTAAAAGGCCATCCATTCCAGACACTCATGCAGAGCAAGAGTCTCTCTCTCCTCTTCCTTTCCTCCCCAAATGTCCTTTCATATTGAAGGATGTAAATTGAAATACTTCCCTCCTTTCCACCATTCCTGTAGCTATAAGATGGAGTGAACACCTGCTTATTGAAAAGTTGATAACCTCTGATAGGAAATGGTGAACTCTGCCCTAGAGGACGTGACTGATGAGTTGAAATGTGAACATCTTTAGAAAATACCTGCTCTGGGCAAGGACCATGGGATTTATCTCATGGGCAAGTTGGAGGATCCCGAAACTTTCTGAAAGGAAGAAAGCAATAGAACATAAACCAAACTCAAGGGAAATTCCATGTTCTGCTTTGTTTGCCTGTAAAAACCCAGCTAATTGGAACCTTTTCCTAGCTGGTAAAAGGAGATGTTAATGGCTATCAAAGTTTCTAGATCCACACTGGGTGCAGTGGCCCATGCCTGTAATCCCAGCACTTTGGGAGGCCAAGGTAGGTGGATCACTTGAGGTCAGGAGTTAAAGACCAGCTGGATCAACATGGTGGAACCCTGTCTATTAAAAATATGAAACTAGGCTGGGTGCGGTGGCTCATGCCTATAATCCCAGCACTTTGGGAGGCCAAGGCAGGTCGATCACCTGAGATCAGAAGTTCAATACCAACCTGGCCAACATGATGAAACCCTATCTCTACTAAAAATACAAAAAATTGGCTGGGTGTGGTGGCGGATGCCTATAATCCCAGCTTACTCAGGAGACTGAGGCAGGAGAATTGCTTGAACCTGGGAGGCAGAGGTTGCAGTGAGCCGAGATCATGCCATTGCACTCCAGCCTAGGCAACAAGAGTGAAACTCCATCTCAAAAATAATTAATTAGCCGGGCGCAGTGGCTCACACCTGTAATCCCAGCACTTTGGGAGGCCGAGGCGGGTGGATCACGAGGTCAACAGATCGAGACCATCCTGGTCAACATAGTGAAACCCCGTCTCTACTACTAAAAATACAAAAAATTAGCTGGGCATGATGGCGCATGCATGTAATCCCAGCTACTCAGGAGGCTGAGGCAGGAGAATTGCCTGAACCCAGGAGGCGGAGGTTGCGGTGAGCCAAGATCGCACCATTGCACTCCAGCCTGGGCAACAAGAGCGAAACTCCGTCTCAAAAAAAAAAAATAATAATAATAATAATAATAATTAATTCAAATACAAAATTAGCCAGGCATAGGTGGCACATGCCTGTAATCCCAGCACTTTGGGAGGCTGAGGTGGGTAGATCACTTGAGGTCAGGAGTTTGAGACCAGGCTGACCAACTTGGAGAAACCCCATCTCTACTAAAAATACAAAGTTAGCCGGGAATGGTGGCACACACCTATAATCCTAGCTACTTGGGAGGCTGTAGCAGGAGCATCACTTGAACCCAGGGGGTGGAGGTTGCAATGAGCTGAAATCGAACCATTGCAGTCCAGCCTAGGGGACAAAGCAAGACTCTGTCTCAAAAAAAAAAGTTTCCAGATCCTGAGATTTACTTGGATCGGGGTGTGGCTCACTCCAGCAATGCCCAGTGCTGTATGTGAGAAGTGATCACCTGAATTCGGGAGTCCGAGACCAGTGGGGAGGGGAGGATAGCGCAGAACCTTGAAAAGAACAGCTCCTCCTCCTCTCCCTCAGGCAGTCATGACTTGCCCTTCTCCCTTTTGTGCATTTCTAACTGTCTACCTCCTTGATGTTTTTTGGGGTTAAAGAAGCCATATCCTCCTCCTTATCCTGGGGTGTTCACCTCCAGCAACCTAACTACCTAGAGCAATACCAGGGCTTGAGACCTAAGGCCTTTGAATAACAAGCAGCAACCTTGTGATTTTATGTCCTGGAAGGGCCTATTAGAAATAGCAGATAAGGCCAGGTGTGATGGCTCATGCCTGTAATCCCAGCACTTTGGGAGGCTGAGGTGGGAGGATCACTTGAGGTCAGGAGTTCAAGACCAGCCTGGCCAACATGATGAAACCACATCTCTACTAAAAATATAAAAATTAGCCAGGTATGGTGGTGGGTGCCTGCAATCCCAGCTACTCAGGAGGCTGAGGCAGGAGAATCACTTGAATGCAAGAGGCACAGGTTGTAGTGAGCTGAGATGGCGCCACTGAGCTCCAGCCTGGGTGACAGAGTAAGACTCCATCTCAAAAAAAAAAAAAAGAAATAGACCAGGCGTGGCGGCTCACGCCTGTAATCTCAGCACTTTGGGAGGCTGAGGCAGGCAGATCACCTGAATTCAGGAGTCCGAGACCAGCGTGACCAACATGGAAAAACCCCATCTCTACTAAAACCAAAAAAATACAAAAAATTAGCCGGGCCATTCTGTTTTGCCTATTGAATTAAAAAACAAAACAAAACAAAAAAAAAACCTTGTTAAAAGATTAGCCCAGCATGGTGGTACATGCCTGTAATCCCAGCTACTTGGGAGGCTGAGGCAGGAGAATCACTTGAACCCGGAAGCTGGAGGTTGCGGTGAGCCCAGATCACACCATTACACTCCAGCCTGGGCACAAGAGTGAAACTCTGTCTTGTCTCAAAAACAAAAAAAAGAAGAAGAAGAAGAAGAAATAGCAAATAAAAGCACAGGTAACTACCCTGACGTCAGTGAAAAGCAGAAGCCAATAGTCCAGCAACAAAGGTGAAGTGGGGAAAACCTGTTACAAATATAACAAACACAAGAACTTGATAAGTACAGTATTAGTCATTCACTTACAGCACTAGATTGCATATGAGAAACTTCTCAAGAAACAGCTTTACACCATTTTTCTCACAAAATTAAGTTTATTTTTAGTAGCCAAGTTTTAAAGTCTACTTTTTCCTCATAGATAAAACTTAAGAATTTTCATCTCTGCAGAACAAGGAACTAAGCCTGAAAGCTAGGTGCTTTCAGATACGTACCAAAAAGAGAGTTGAAAAGTCAACTTCCCACTCCCTTTGAGGTTACTTTCTGAGAAAAAGACACAGTGCATTACATTAAGCAAATATTGGATCATGCATGGCAATAATTTATGTGAGAGCTGAAGAAAGCAAAAAGATTTCTTCCTTTCAAAAAATAAATTTCAAATAAATGCTGCAAATCCAAGTGACACCTCCTTGTAGTGAGAGGTCCTTGGACCAGCACATAGAATGTATTTACTCCATTGATTTCTTGCAAGTGTGTTTACAGATCCCTCATTAACACCCCAGATTAGAGGCAGAGAATTGGGGGCAGCTAATGGCAGCAAGTATACTAACAAATTTTAGCAAAATGTTTTGCAAAATAAATCTGTTAAATTTTGATCTTTTAAGGTGGGAAGTTACTGTCATTTGTTCATTCTTTTTTTTTTTTTTTTTTTCTTTTTTCTTTTTTTGAGATGGAGCCTCATTCTGTTGCCAAGGCTGGAGTACAGTGGTGCAATCTTGGCTCACTGCAACCTCTGTCTCTCAGGTTCAAGCATTTCTCTGCCTCAGCCTCCGGAGTAGCTGGGGTTACATGTGCCTGCCACCATGCCTGGCTAATTTTTTTTTTTTTTTTTTTGTATTTTTAGTAGAGATGGGTTTCACCATCTTGACCAGGCTGGTCTTGAACTCCTGACTTCGTGACCCACCTGCCTCAGCCTCCCAAAGTGCTGGGACTACAGGTGTGAACCACCGTGCCTGGCCTATTCATTCTTTCTTTCTTTTTTTTCTTTTCTTTTTACTTCTCTCCTCTCCTCCCCTCCCCTCCACTCCCTTCCTCTTCTCCAAAATAGAGAGAGGGTCTCCCTGTGTTGCCCAGGCTGGTGTCAAATTCCCAGGTGCAAGAAATCTTCCCACAGCCTCCCAAAGTGCTAGGATTACAGGTGGGAGCCATCATGCCTGGTTTGTTCTTTCTTTATTTGAAAGTGTTCAACAAAAGAAATTATTCAAATGTGAATCTTCTCTAGTAGATCATACAAAACCCTAGAGCAGGGTTTCTCAACTTTGGCACTACTGACGTTTTGGGCCAGATCATTCTTTCTTGTGGGGAAGTGTTCAGTGCACTGGAGGATATTGAGCAGCATCCCTGGCTTCTACTCATTAGCACCCCCAGACCCACCCAGTATGATAAAATTTCTCCTGACATTGCCATATGTTCCCTGGAGGTTTGTAAAATTGCCCCAGTTGAGAACTACTGTCCTAGGGGGAATTGAAGAATTCCAATCAGAAGCAAAGATGAGAGCAAAACCTGAGAGACTTTGAAGCCCATCGGTAACTTCCCTAAGCAGGTGTGAAGTTGATGCATGATAAGGTCATGCTTTCAGAGCTTTGCGGTAGACTGGATGGTCAGAGCTGAAGCTGAGATGTTAGAAGGAAACACTTCTCCGCTCTGCTCTGGCCCATGGGCTCCTCTTGTGCTTTCAGAGGTGCCAGTGATGGTTGCTTCAGTCCTGCCTGCTGTGGTGTGGTGGTAATAACAACACTAATGCCATGACTTATAGAAAATGTATGTGTCAGGGCCTGTACAGAGCAGAAAATCGTCTCATTAATCTTTACTTCAGTCTCCTGATGGGTACTACAATTTATGCTTTAGAGTTTAGGAAACTGAGG